CTGGATTTTCAAGAACTTTTCTTGCAACGTTTCCTGTATCTGATGATCCAGCTCCCCCTTGTCTTGGTTCGAGTACACGAACATTAAATGCATCCCACATTGCTTGCTTTATTCTAGCCTTTTCAACATCTAAAACAATCTGTTCCTCTTCAGTTATCTCCAGCCAGTGTTTTTGAACATATTGTTTATATGACAAATCATATAGAGTCGTGAGTACGTTCATTGATGTATGAAGTGGCTGAGTGTTGAAATACAAGTGTTCTTAATCTCTGTGGTTCAAGTTTTGATATTTGATTTTTTATATCTTCATATATCCTTCTAACATTTACTCTGGTTTCTTTGGCATGTTCAAGTTGTATTGGTCGTACTGAGTATACAGATTGACTGTTTTCGTTGTCCCATAAGCAGATATAATTTCCGTTTTCGTCTTCATGTCGTAGTTGCTGAACACTCATACTAACTGTCAATAGTGATTTGTCTTCTATAATTTCATTATTAGTCGTTTGATTCGGTTGTGTTCTATCTCGTTCTTGATTTCTTGAATTTGTTTTTCCTTGGTTATACTGTGACTGTCCTGTTGTTCCGTCCATCCCCCATGTGACGATCATTTCTGCATGAATAACTTTTGGAGTTGATTCTGAAGGTAATATTTTGATTTTGTCGTATATTTCTGAATTGTGTGCTTCAATAACTCTTTTTGTGGTGAGTTGTGTCAAATTTTTTAGTGGAATAACGGCTCTTGTATCGGTGACCGTTATGTCATCAGGATAGCATTGTTTCTCTAACCTCAACAATTTTTTAGCTGTCGGTAAAACGTTTTCGCATTCCAGTTTCAGGACTTGTCGAATATTGTTGTACTGATTTCGAGATAAATTGTTAAAGGCTTTTACACCTAGAGCTACATGTATATCTAGTTGTTTAGGTTTTGATGTAGTTTTTTCTGGAAGATCCTCTCCTTTTTGGCACGCCTTAATAAATTCTTTTAACATTTTAGCTCCTTCTACTTTTCCTTCTTCTTTAGAAAGGCGAAGTGCCAAGTGAAGAACTGATAACAATGATCCTTTTGCTTCTTTTAAACTGATATCTAATTCGTCCACTCTTCTACGTCGATGCTTATCGCTTGTTAGTTGTTCAAATGATTTCCTCTTGATGCCCTTGCTGGATGAAGGCTCTATGTCATGGACGATGTATTCAATCTCATCCATATCTTCATCTGTGTCAGTAACATTTTCTGCTTCATATATAGATTCTTCCTCAAAAAGAATCCCTCCACTAGATTCGCTGAAGTATCGTGAGTCAACTTCAAATTCCTCTTCATAGAAATCTGCATGATCTCTTAATGCATTATTCCAATTTGACTGATTACAAAACATTTTTGACTTTGACTTCAGCTTGTTTAATTTATTAATTAAACTTGGTTTCTGTGATTCCGCTAATTCTCTCCCATGAATTTCTTCTATTACTGCCAAACAGTACGTGTGCTGTGTTGCAAGATTTAACGTTTTGTCGCGAAGAATTTCACAGAGTGTTTTCTTCGTAAGTGTTGAATTTTGGTTCATTTTTGAAAGTGACTTGTTCAATGAAGTTCAAAACTGATATGATGTGTAGAGAGAATTTCACGAGTATATATATAAAATAGTTTCAAAACTGAGATTTTCACACCTGATAGTGACTACCAAGGGTACTTTACAAAGTTGTTAACTAGGGAAGTAAAAAGTTTCTAAATTTAATTTTTTGGCTTTATAATCTCATAAATGTCATAAATAAACATAAAAAAGTTCTAAAAAAATACTCGAGATTGCTTAAAAGTGGTATTTTTGAAAATGCAATTTTTGGGAATATTTCAAAAACTGCGTATGTCACAATCAACAGCCCTATAAATAACCAGGACTAAGTTAACTAGCAAGTATTATATATCGTTGGATAGGTATTACATTAGGCTACAATAATCCGAAAACAGAATTAAAAAATATTTTTTCAAAAAAAAGTTATAGTGGTTTAAGTAGGGTGACAAATGGCCAAATCGATGGAGAGCACATACCCCCTATATCTCGAAAGATTTTGAAGTTTTTGAAAAATTTTCTTCACAAAATCATTTAAATTGTTATTTTTCATAAGAAAACACCAAAAAACTATTTTTAAAACTATGTTTTCGTATTTTTAAAAGAATTATTAGTTTTTGGCCAAATACTCAACGACCTACTAAAATCAACATAACTCAATTACGTTAGCTTACTTTTTCAAAGTTTATACAGTTTTGAAAACTAGATATATGGGGCTACAAAACTGCGTTTTTACTTGCCTGGAAACTCTTCATTTATGATAGTTGCGGCTTGTTTGAAGATAATTTTCCTGAAATTTTCACATATGTTCTACCATAATGGCACGAAAACATTCAGAACCTAAACTTTGTTATATGTCAAAATAAAGCTCTTATATACTACTAATAGGAACTGAAAACCGTTTTGCAATATCTTAAACCAGTTAAGATATTTCCCGGTTCAAACATGGTATGAAAAAACCAGAATTTTCACTAGTTTTCAACTTCAAACAGCTCTAGAATCGCGAAATCAGCACCAAATGACCTGAAATTTGGCATTTCTATCTACTTTTATGTCCTCTACAAGAAAAAATCACCCAAAAAGTGTAAATCGGAAAAGTCCATTTTTCAAAGTGAAAGTCCCTTTTTTTTTCATTTTGCCCCATAGTGCTACGACAAAAAACGCACAAATTTCAAAATTTGTAAAAAAAATTCGCACAAATTTTAACATTTACAATCAAGAAATTTTAAAATCAATTTTTAAAGCACTTCCAATGATTTTTATAACTTGAATTTTTTTGAAACATTATAGCAATTATCAAATTTTATATTAAAACTGTGATTTGATTACAAGCAGCACTGGTTATGTCCAAATATTTATAAATATAAAAATCACAATTTTGTATGGGATTTTAAATTTTTAAAATTTAAAGCTGCTCCAAGCTTCGAGACTGTCCAAAATGATGTAGAAATGTTTGTACAACTGTTTTACACAGAACTGCAAACAAAATTTTGGTTTAAATGGCTTATTTGGGCTAATTTCTTTTTTATTTGAGCGCACAAATTTCAACATTGCACAAATTTCAACATGGTTTACCCTATATAACTTTCATACATAAAATGTCAATTTAACTTTTAATGCAATCTTCAGACGGAAACATAATATATCTTATAAACTTTTAACATTTAAGTTTAAAATCTTTTGATATTCATTACAATTTAATGTGAAGTTGCCGGAAACTTTTTACAGCCTTTTATTTCTATCGTCTTATTTTAACTATTGCACCAAGATCTGAAGTGAAAAATTACCTGAACTAAAAACTTTATCTTTTCATTTATCTTCCATGTGGATAAAAAATTATTTGTTGGATAGACAAAAGTTATTTGGAAAATGAGAAACTTTCACATCAAATTAAGGGATTTTTTCTTATCTTTTTCAAAACTTGATCGTGTGAGCGAAAGAATGTTTTATAACTTTTTACTGCATAAGATATTTGTCATAACTTCTTTTTTTTGCTTCTTATTGAGTTTCATTGAAAAATTAAATTACTTGGAAAATGCGTTAAAGGGTCAATCATAAATGACGTCATATCAATTTTTTTGGGGATCATCAAGGGTGTGGAACTGATAAATTTAAGATAAATTACATTTTTATCATTTTTGATTATTTCTGATCGTTTTTGATAATTTACCCAGTACCGCACCCTTGGGGACCATTAACATAAGTGATAGAATCAAAAGCTGTAAGTTTCTATCAAGCTTCAATCTCGTCGCACGATGCTTCATAAAACTTGAACATCACTTATAAACAACCTTTATAAAAGCTATAGAATTCAACCCGTAAAAGAATTTATTGATTTTTGAACATTTCTCTTCTTTCAATTGAATTGAATTTGTAGCATATTTGTAGCAGTATGATGCAATGTGAGCTTTTGAAGAATATAAAAGTATTTTATTTCCTGCCTTTAAAACTTTTTATTACTGTCAATTCCATGTGAAAAAATATTTTCAATATTCAGCTGATAGCTGCAAGAATTTTCGGTCATCAGAAATTTTAATTAATTTTTGAATAGAATTTGCCTTACATTGAATGTGAATGGGAAATAACAATAAATATCTGGCTTCTCGCCAAACATTTTCCGATGAATAATGATGTAACATATTTTTGTGGCTACATAGATTTCATAGAATATGTGAGTGTGTGTGCTGTACATCTATAATATGTGCTTCCTTAATTTATTGCCATTTAGAGAATAAAATTTAATGATTTAATTTATTACCGCTTGACTTTAAAGTTAATTTTATGGCGCATTTCTGCATTCAATTTTAAAAAATTTTAAATTTATTTCCACAATTTGTATAAAATTGAATAATTTTTATGAAGCTCGCAAATTATTATCATTTGTCATTCAATTATGCAATTAAATGATACATTATATATGCTCAGTTGTGGCTTGATTTTTTCCCAAACCCACACCGAGTTGACCACAAAAATACAAAAAAATTCTAATTGTGGAAAATGAATAAAAATTAAAATTTGTCACAAAATGGAAATTTTGATTGTCATTTGCATAAATGTTTGATAAAAATAGAACTGAATATTATTTTATGGAAATAAAGTCCAACTTTTATCAGCACTCACACACATAAATGCGTGTCTGTCAGTTCATGTCCAATTAATTAAATTTCAGATCAAGAATTAATTGGCAAATTCAGTTCCATTTTTAATTTAACTTGACAAAGTCATTTAAATCATTCAAAAAAATTCTAACAAGAAATCATAAAAAATGACTTGAAAAGTTCACTTCAATCACTCAGATTCTCATTTTAAAAAGAAGAGGAACTTGATAATTAAGTGATAAGGAACTGAATAAAGTCTCTCAATCTCTTCATCTCCTCTTTATTTCTATGTCATTTTTGTCTATAATTCAGTCGCTCATTCAAATTAATTTGCTCATTTAAGTTTGTGAAGTTAAAGTGGATAGAAGTAAATAATTGGAAATAAAAAAAGTAGGACAAGGAAGGAAGAGTGAAAGCAAGTGGAAATGGAAAATTATACATCAGATTCATCCGAATCGGATTCACATACAATTGATTACCAGAACCGTAATTTGACGGTATCAAAAGCTGAAGATTTCTTTTTGAACTTGTTTGATAATGAAATGGCTTATACTGAAATTGAGACCGTGATCCTGTATAATAATCATCTGTCAAGTTTGCCACTATCGCTGTTACAATTCACGAATTTGCACACGTTAGATATCAGCAATAATAGTCTCGCTACATTAAATGTTGAAGTATTCTTGCAGTGTCCATTACGCACATTTATTGCCAAAAATAATCTGCTTACGAATGACTCGCTACCAAAAACATTCGCATCAAAATCCAAATTGGGTCAATTACGTGAATTGAATTTGAGTGGAAACATGTTGACTCGATTCCCAAATCAGATACTCGAACTACACTCAATTAAATATTTATACCTCAATGGAAATCTCATCCAGTCAATTCATAAAGACATCTGGAAATTAAAAAAGTAAATGTCTAGTGTGTTTGTGCGTTCATAAATAGCTTTAGTCATTAATGATAAGATTTAATTATTTTAACCTTTAATCTTTTTATTTTTTTTTCATACTGTCTCTCGGTTCCAGTTTGCAAGTACTTTCTATGGGCGCAAACAAAATACGAGATGTTCCGGACACTATTGGAAATCTAGTCCAAATGCAGGGTTTAAATCTTTGTGACAATTTAATTGATAAACTTCCATCGAGTATTGCACGATTGCACAATTTGAAGACATTATCACTACACAAAAATGCCATAAGAACTTTACCACCTGAGCTTATTTCGTTGAGAAATTTGACAGAACTCTCACTTCGTGACAATCCACTTGTCGACAGATTTGTTCAGCGTACGTTTTTTTTACATCCATTTTTTACTTCCTTTACATTAAATTCAACTTATGCATTCACAGATCTTTCAATGACACCAACAACATTAAAGGAAAGTGCAGCACGAGTTGTGAAAATTTCTGAATTGCTTTACAGTCCCGAAAACTTGCCAAGAACACTCATCGATTACCTCAGCTTTGCAAATTGTTGTGTCAATCCTAATTGTAAAGGTGAGTAATAAATAAATTGTTGTTGTTGTTTTTGTTGTCTACAGCTGATAAATGACTCAGCTAATTTTCAATGTCTGACCTTATGACTTCCTCTCATTCTCTCATTTTTGTAGGAGTCTATTTTGATAATCGAGTTGAGAATGTGAAATTTATTGACTTTTGTGGAAAGTATCGAGTGCCTTTCATGCAGTATTTATGCAGTTCAAAGTGAGTATTCACATTCATCATAGCTCTTGCCAATTTCCATTTTAATTTCAATTTTATCTGTGCATTTGCAGATGTGTTGATAATGCAAATGTTGATGCACAACAGCCAAGTGCCAGTGGTTTCATGATGAGAAAAGTTCTCTTGGGTTAATTCTCACATTTATACTCAACTGGAATCGGAAGTAAAGCTCTCTGCTGTTTATCTTAGTCTATTTTATGCAAAATCATCAAAATAAATTGTTTAAAGTCTATGAATTTCAAGTGCTTGTGCTAAATCATGAATTTTCTTCCATTTTTATTAATCTTTAAGCATAAAGTTGTTTAAGGCAGTAAAAAGTAGGTTTAATGTAGTCATTAATGATTGAAATTAATAAAAGCTCACTAAAGTTGATGCCATAATAATATAATGTAAAATAAAATGAAATTTAATGATAATGAGGAGCTATATAGGAGCTCATATAGGAAGAAGAAATCAAATAAAAAGAAAAACGTTTTTCTTCGCACCCAAAAAAAAGAGTTTGAAAGTTTTTTTCACTTAAAACTTATTAATGTCATAATGATGATGATAGACATTAATCATAAAAATTCTACCATATTTGGAGAGACATAAGACATGATGAGATGGAGTATGAGGATGTAAAAGTTAAAATGGCAGTTAAAAAAGCAATAAAACCTGATTTTATGACTTTTTTGTTTTGTTATCTTTAAGCGTCTTAAGATTGTTAATGTGATAATGGAATTTCAATGTACAAAAAGACCAAAATTCTTAAGGATGTGCTCCTTCATTTTATTGCCTCAAATAACTCGTTTCTCATTTCATTTCCTCAAGACTTTTAAACTTTTTCTTGGACATCATCAAAAAAAAAAAACTTTCTCAAGTGCATTTCTATTTCTATTTTGAGATGGGATATACTTGACCTATGTTGAAGTTTCAATGAACATCCACTGTTGACACGACACACATGAAAATCTCTTGGATTTATGCAAAAATGAATTTTATCAATGAATCATCTCTTAATGCTCTTTCTACATACTCCTTATGAGGAACAGAATTGTCAACAACATAATTTCTATTTCTTTTTAATATCCATTGCATGAGACACAGATAAAGATAGAGAACGAGGACGAGACAAAAGAGGAACAAAAAGTGGAAACATAATTCTTATATTAGTAACATAATGCAGAAAATAACACTTCATATACGTGACATGAATAATTTTCACAACATTTCTGCTGATGCTTGTCTCTTTAGTGATACAAAATTCTTTGAGTTCCTCGCATATCTTAAGTTTCAATGTCAAATTTATTCATAAGGGAGACAAAAGTTTAGTGTTTTCTTCAGCGTCTGTTATTCTCTCAAAGCACAGAAGACAACACAGTTGTAACATTTTTTTTTTATATTCACAAAACATTAAATTATTTACAGCACAAAGGCTTTTCATTTCAAAATGTTTTCCAACAGTACGTTATAAGCTTCATAATAAAAAAGGTCCTTTTTCTTGAGCATTTTGTTGGTTGAAGTTGGAGGGAGCCCTTGAGGCAACAATAAACTTTGACAGAATCTTATTTTTTCTTTGTTTTCATCTTATCTGGTTCCTTTCTTCTATTTCGGCTCTCATGTGTGCTTTTTATGGATGAAAAAATGAAAAGGAAAATAAAGTTTTTAACCTATTGGTATTAGAAACATTTTATGGCTTCTTATTCAAACATACAAATTGCTTTATTATTATCGCATATGCTATAAACTATACATTTCCTATATTCTACATGATAAATGCCTAACATATGGAAAATGATAAATTTTCCTGGAAATATTCCAACAAGTTTTTGTTAAAGGTACAACTTAAAGTAGATTAGTTCCTTTAATATGAATTATAAGAACTATGCGGACGATAGTTATAATTTTGTGAAAGACATGGCATAAGATTGCACTTTCGTTGTTCCAATCGATCATGACAAAAAGCTGAATTTTCAATGTTAAGTAAAGCACGCGTTCGAATTTGAACCGCTGATTGTCCACAAGATTTACTACATGGACTCCATGCTGACCAATCTGAGTATTCACAGTATGGCGTTGGATTTCGAGTCGTTGTGATTACTCGAATTGGTGGGAAGAACTGATGCTGAACTCGAGTCACCAATTCACAATCTGAAGTTTTGCATTTTTCGAGTTTTCTGACATTTCTTGGACATGATTTGCCGCCGTTTTGTGAATGCTTCTGGAAGTTAATTAAAATTTTAGGAAAGGATTGTTGAAAATTTTGATTAAGAATTTACCACAACTTTTCGGAATTTCCATCTGTATCCCTCGCCGCATGTTGTATTACAAGGAGTGTGCTCCCATGGTGTCATCACACAATCAATTCTTTCTTGAACGAGATTGGCAACTTGTATGGAGTCTGGTTCTTCATCTCCGTAAATTTCTTGCTCTAATTTTTTCAAATCATAATATTAAGTAGGGAAGGACTAATCATATGACAACTTACTATTGCATGTTTCAGTGCAGTTTGCTAGTGCCTCAAAATTATTCTTAGAAATCTCGCATCCAGTATACAGGAAGGTAGCACATCGTCTTAGTTGATGACTATAATAGTAACGAATCTCCGCTGGTGCTTTGCATTTCTGAATGAGTGGTGTCTGCATACAGAAATATTTTGGATCGTCATCATAAGCTTTATTTCTTTTTCCACAAACACGTGACTCTACAAATTGAACACCGAAGCAAGCGTGTGAAGGATCTGCTGCTGTTGTCACATTCAATGTTGTTATGTCATCGTCATCTTCATCATCATTTCTACGGACGAATTTGCTTCTTCGCAGTTTTTCATACATGTTGACAATGCGCTTTAAATTTTCGTCCGAATTGCGAATATTTTGTTTTGGTTTTCTGACACGAATTTGTATTCCCATTCCTACTGTTGTTGAGCACTGACTGTATTGAGTCCAATCATCTAATGGACAGTTTAGGCCCACCTGTAGATAGAATAACAATATTATTAGAATATGCTTTAAATTATTTAAATTTTTTACATACTGGCTTGGGTGTTGCCTCTTCGTCATCATTACAATCAGTTGCTGGACAGTCATCGAACTTTTCCAATAAAAGCTTTGGATATTTAATCATGCATCGTTTCTGATTTCTTGAATTTTTGAATTTTCTGCTGATTTGCTTCTTTGGTTGTCCACTTTGACAAGAACATTCCTCTTCTTTCCAATCAGTTACTTGACATTCCTTATCCTTTCTGTCAACTTCTTCTTCGTCACCATCCTCATCTCCACCCTCCTCCTGACTTCCATTCTCTTCTTCGTCTTTATCCTTGTCATCATTATCATCAGTTATTACATTTTTGGTATTACTAGTACATCCTCTGGTTCCAGTGCACGTCTTTTTTTCTACCAAGTCTTCATTACATCCCTTTTTATGGGCATTTGGTGGGTCTTTGTAGTAACGTCTATAGTCGAATTAAGGAAAATTATTGAATCGCTTTTTGTGTCACAATATCCTAGCCCCCCCTAAATCTCAGGCGTCATAAGAGAAGGGCCCCTTATGTGTCGTTCACTTATGACATCCAAGTTAATTGCAAGCTTTTAACCTTATTTTTAAGACATCACAAGTGAACGATCCCTTGAAACTTACCTTCTTTCCTGAATTCCCTCACCGCAAGGGTTGTTACACTCCTTCCACTGTCCCCATGGATTAGTAATGCAATAATCAGTTTTATCTTCTTCTTGATCATCTTCTCTGCGATTATTATAATTGTTATTGTTATCGCCAATATTATCATCATCATCATCATCTCCTGTATTGCCTCTACCATAATTCCCATTATCATCTCCATTCTCATTTCTGTCACAATTCTTCTCATATAATCGTTGTCTCGTTATGTAAAGTTTTGCTAATGGCTTCATTTCCAAATTTTCTGGATCATAAAATGGTGAACGTGGATCATTTGGATTATTTGGTTTAATGCGACGAATTGACTCTTGTGGTCTTGTGGGTTGATCTGGTGCTGTATACGTTGCACCAGAATCTGTGCCTGCATCATATGGATATAAATTCACCTCTTTCTGTTCCGCCCACTGTCCATTTGATAAACATAGCTCTAAATCACTCACACCAACAAACCAGTCAGGCGATGGATATAATTTTGATACAACCGAGATTAAATGATGTTCTGAATCGACACGAAACACAGCGAATGTCTTTCCATTTACATTCGGGTACGAAATGCCTCGGGCTTTTATTATCGTTCGAATACTTTCACCCTTCATCGATTAAAATTTAAGTTGTTAATTATTCAGAAAATCAATCCTAAATTATTTATAAATTTACCTTATTCTTTAATTCCTCTTCAAGCATGCCAGTAGCACCAAATTCAGCCATTTCTTTCATGCCAGGTGACGAGTGATTACCATATCGCCAAAAATGATTATCGATTGCATGAGAAGCACCAATAACATCACTAAACTTTGTACGCCATCCATCATCAGGAAAGTCTTTTGGATGTGTATTTCTAGACCATAGACCTTCAAATGTCAACTCATATTTTGCTTCATCACATGCTGTACACTCTGCAACGATAGAGTCTGGATCTATTGAGTCCGCTTCATCCTCACACAACTGTTTACTTAATGCACCATCATCCATAAACCATATATCACGATGTTCTATGATTGTCGATTTGAATGTTATACAGCCTTTTCCAGATGTCGGTGCTGTCCATTCTATCTGTACGTAGAATAAATTGGATAATTCATCAAATTGTTGAACTTATATAAATTAATTGAGACGTTAATCTTACAAGAACGTCACTTTTTGGAACGGAATTTGTGTTGACAACAACATTCGGACACTTTTCAGATATTTTCGATAGTGCTGGATATAAAATTGTAAATCCACCAAGATCATCTTCTTCATAACGTGAGAATGGCGTCTTTTCGTCATTATTTCTTTCGATTGTGAGAAAAAATCCGACAAATTTTTGGGGTGATGGTGATGAGAAACGTGTAACTCCTTCCAAGCTGACTATAAGATGAAATATTGTGAAAAACATGAAGCACACATGAAAAAAAATACACGAATATGTTAAATAGGATTTGATTATATTTTGCGAATTTCCTGAGAAAAACATATTTTAGCGTGTTTGTGCCACACTTCTTATTTATATGGAAGAGGTAAATGGAATGAACTGTATTTGATTTAAGAGGCTTTTGAGCGAATTTAAAATCTTGTTGAGAAATTCTTGGGAAATACTTGAAACAAAAAAAAATGCTATTTTTCTGTCGATGAGGAATGATTCTAGAATCCGACAAGATTGTTGAGTACTTTGAACATTTTTTTCGATTTTTTTCGATTTTTTTCTTCCACTTTAATGCCTTGGTTCTCGTACTTTGTTCAGAAAAAATATTTTCTTCCACAAAAAACTCAATAAAAAAAACGGCTTCACCGTTCTAGTTACGAAGCTCTGTTCGTGTGCTGGGTGTAGTTTTGAGGCCTTTGGCACAGAATCTGCCTCCTTTGCTAGGTATACTCGTGTCTTTGCAATGTGCAGAGCTTGCAATTGGTTCGGATCCCACTATAAACTATAGGTCTAAAGGGTGTGGTACAATAGATTCTATTCTAATTTGAATCGCAGTGCCTCCAGCTGAAAGGCTGGGCCCTTCACACATTATTATTATTATTATTAAAGTTCTTCAATTTACAGACAAATTTTTGATTTTTTTTTTGAAAATTCAGTAGAAAATGCAATTCAAAAAAATGTAGTTCCGATTTATCAATCATGTCGATTCATGTGCAATTCATTTCACAATCGCAAATCCCCAGAGGGTATGATGATTTGATTGCTTACTTTTATATGTTTCACCAGGAATATAACGAATAGGGTCGTTAATAATACGCAATCTGAATCGTCCATCTGGCGGTGACTTGTTACTTCCAGTTCCATCCGGTATACGAGCACATTTCGAAGGATTTGAGAATGATAAATCAGCGATTGCAATGAGGAGAATTAATAAAATTTGTATTTTCATTATGACTTTTTTTTTTAAATTAATTTTTTTTATGTCTGTATTTTATTTTCAAATAACATAATCAGAACGAGACGATCATTAATCATCAAAATTGTGTTATATATTTTTTTTATTTTGTAGTCACTTGTTCTGTAAATCACTTTTTTCCACAATTTTGTTTTTCGGTTTATTTTCCTTCAAGGCGTTATGCGCGCGCGAATATTAAAAAAATATATTTTTTTGTGATAATCGTTGTTACGTATTTTATTTATTTTCACACTGACAATATTTTCATATATTTATATTAAATATCACAAACACTTATTAAACAATAAATCATCAGCAACAACGAAGAATATGAAGGAATGATTACTTTTTGCGTCCGATCAGTAAGACACGAAAGAGCTAAATAAAGATGATATTTTTTTTTGCAATTTGAGTATACTTCATCTCAAAAAATGTGATCGCGATGTGAGAGGATCTCTCCTTTAAATGTAAACAACATCGCCATTCCATTTAAGTTACAACGGAATTCTTTTCTCGCTCGTTGAGAAAATGCAAAAAAAAAATCTAATCTTACTTTCATATTGAAGGAAACATCTCGAAACAAAAAGCATGACTCTTATTCACACGCATTGACATTCATGTTCAATGACATTCAAATAACTTCATGTTAACGAGGTCATGATTGAATCTGACTTTATGCTTCATGCTGGTCGGTCAATATTAAGAAGAAAAAAGAAAATTTTATCACATTTAATCCTGGCTTGATGCCAACAACTGTATGTCTAGCACTCAAAAATGTTCATTTTGTGTGATCTTGAAAATTGAGAAGAAAACAACAAAATTTTATGCTTTGATATTTATGTGGGAAATTCTTGTTTCCTTTGTATTGCTGCTCATAGAATTAATAACATCCTCCAACTGCTTTTTTATTTTCTCATCATCATCTTTCATTCTTATTTTATTTTGTTGGTATAATAAAGTTTCATCTTTATTCATAAATTTTATGCAAAAGCAAGTATTATCTTCTCTTAAGCATGTGCGTGAAGCAACATATGTACTCAAAATTGGATTTTTCTGGTGTTCTTGAATGAGTGGGGTGTCCAGCTTTCGAGTGTGGTTAATATTTCATAATGGCATTGAATTTAAGGTAAGTTGCCTGCTAATGAGAGTTTGACGAGTGAGCTTATGACGTCCAAAATTGACGGTCATTTTTAAAAAAAAGATCAATGGATTTCCAGGAATTTCTATTGCTCTTTCCTTGCCAATCCCCCCTTGGACGTCATAAGTGAACAGCCTATAATGGGAGTTTAATGAGTGAGGATGAGCTTAGACCTAGAGTTTGAGGTGGGATTCGAACAACTCATTTAATGACATTTCTGTCTGTAGCCTATAAAGGAAGGCTCTAAACTTCATTTCCAGTACATATGATTCATAAGAGGACAAGTGAAAACCTCTCATACCCAGTCTCAAACCAATGATCGCTGTGTCGATATTGCAATAATTAGGTACCGAAATACTAAACCGTTGCGCCACCGAGCCACTTCAGGTCAACCAATGATCCCTACTTCAGTTGAAGAATAATTGAGAGATTTCAAGTGGGATTCAAAGTTTGATGACAAGAAGCACTGTGATTTTATTTTGAGATTAATCGGAGTGTAAACGCCTTGCTGCTATGCCTATCATAGCAAGAAAAGAGGGAATAACGACTTCAAAAATCTGCTGTGGTAGATGTTGATGATGGGTTCCTATTGCTCGACTATGAAAAGTAGGGCGTCCACAAAGCATCTTGTTTTATTTTTCCGCCTCCCGTTCAACAGTTGTACGCCAAGTAATTCTCCGTCGGCCTCTAGTCCTATTTCCTTGCACATTCCAGAAGATCGCTTGCTGTCGTAAAATTTCCATCAAAAAATTGCAACCTTAGCCTTAGAAATTGAACAACATAAGTAATCGTTTAAAAGCTGTTCCTCATGCTAGCTAAGAAAAATATCGCCCCACCAAAAATCCAATAGTCATCCTACATCTGACACAGCATTCAACCTTGAGAGAGTAAATAAAAACATTAGTCGTGTACGAATGTAAATCCCTATATGATTTATACGAGTCACAATAACAAGATAGAAATATTTATCATGTGAAAATTCATCTGATTAGAAGTAAATAAATATCACATGGACATAGTTGCCCCTTTGGCTGTTTTATTCTCCTCTGTTGATTTCAGCATCCCCACTCGAATATTCACAATCTATTTAGTCGATGTGCCTAACAAACTATCATAATAATATTGTATTTTATGATCTGTTAATCAATTTGCTTCCCCGACTACCAATCAATTTCAATTAAGCTTTAATTGATATTCGAGTAAACACGATCTGTTTTTATGAGCTACACAAAATTAAAAATTAATTCGAATTGGTCAGCTGAATTTGCTTTTAATTGCAAAAAAAATATATTCTGAGTGTGTTTATTTCGTATTAATAAGGATGTCTGCGCTGTGAGGTCATTTACATTTATTTTCGCACTTTATCTTAAATTTTTGGATTTAATCTGAAGGATTATGAAATCATGAAACTCTTCTGACATGAAAAATGTGGGATTATTGTCAGCATATTGGTTTGAGGGGTTTAAGAATTAATGAAGATATTGAAAAACTTATCACAATGAAAATTATTCATGTCACGTATATGAAGTGTTATTTTCTGCATTATGTTACTAATATAAGAATTATGTTTCCACTTTTTGTTCCTCTTTTGTCTCGTCCTCGTTCTCTATCTTTATCTGTATCTCATGCAATGGATATTAAAAAGGAATAGAAATTATGTTGTTGACATTTCTCTACCTCACAAGAAGTATGTAGAAAGAGCATTAAAAGATGATTCATTGATAAAATTCATTTTTGCATAAATCCAAGAGATTTTCATGTGTGTCGTGTCAACAGTGGATGTTCATTGAAACTTCAACATAGGTCAAGTATATCTCATCTCAAAATAGAAATAGAAATGGACTTGAGAAACTTTTTTTTTGATGATGTCCGAGAAAAAATTAAAAGTCTTGAGGAAATGAAATAAGAAACGAGTTATTTGAGGCAATAAAATGAAGGAGCACATCCTTTAGAATTTTGGTCTTTTTGTACATTGAAATTCCATTATCACATCAACAATCTTAAGACGCTTAAAGATAACAAAACAAAAAAGTCATAAAATCAGGTTTTATTGTTTTTTTAACTGCCATTTCAACTTTTACATCCTCATACTCCATCTCGTCATGTCTTATGTCTCTCCAAATATGGTAGAATTTTTATGATTAATGTCTATCATCATCATTATGACATTAATAAGTTTTAAGTGAAAAAAACTTTCAAACTCTTTTTTTTTTTTGGGTGCGAAGAAAAACTTTTTTCTTTTTATTTGATTTCTTCTTCCTATATGAGCTCCTATATAGCTCCTTATTATCATTAAATTTCATTTTATTTTACATTATATTATTATGGCATCAACTTTAGTGAGCTTTTATTAATTTCAATCATTAATGACTACATTAAACCTACTTTTTACTGCCTTAAACAACTTTATGCTTAAAGATTAATAAAAATGGAAGAAAATTCATGATTTAGCACAAGCACTTGAAATTCATAGACTTTAAACAATTTATTTTGATGATTTTGCATAAAATAGACTAAGATACACAGCAGAGAGCTTTACTTCCGATTCTAGTAGAGTATAAATGTGAGAATTAACCCAAGAGAACTTTTCTCATCATGAAACCACTGGCACTTGGCTGTTGTGCATCAACATTTGCATTATCAACACATCTGCAAATGCACAGATAAAATTGAAATTAAAATGGAAATGGCAAGAGCTATGATGAATGTGAATACTCACTTTGAACTGCATAAATACTGCATGAAAGGCACTCGATACTTTCCACAAAAGTCAATAAATTTCACATTCTCAACTCGATTATCAAAATAGACTCCTACAAAAATGAGAGAATGAGAGGAAGTCATAAGGTCAGACATTGAAAATTAGCTGAGTCATTTATCAGCTGTAGACAACAACAACAACAACAACAATTTATTTATTACTCACCTTTACAATTAGGATTGACACAACAATTTGCAAAGCTGAGGTAATCGATGAGTGTTCTTGGCAAGTTTTCGGGACTGTAAAGCAATTCAGAAATTTTCACAACTCGTGCTGCACTTTCCTTTAATGTTGTTGGTGTCATTGAAAGATCTGTGAATGCATAAGTTGAATTTAATGTAAAGGAAGTAAAAAATGGATGTAAAAAAAACGTACGCTGAACAAATCTGTCGACAAGTGGATTGTCACGAAGTGAGAGTTCTGTCAAATTTCTCAACGAAATAAGCTCAGGTGGTAAAGTTCTTATGGCATTTTTGTGTAGTGATAATGTCTTCAAATTGTGCAATCGTGCAATACTCGATGGAAGTTTGTCAATTAAATTGTCACATAGATTTAAACCCTGCATTTGAACTAGATTTCCAATAGTGTCCGGAACATCTCGTATTTTGTTTGCGCCCATAGAAAGTACTTGCAAACTGGAACCGAGAGACAGTATGAAAAAAATAAAAAGATTAAAGGTTAAAATAATTAAATCTTATCACAATGACTGACTAAAGCTATTTATGAACGCACAAATACACTAGACATTTACTTTTTTAATTTCCAGATGTCTTTATGAATTGACTGGATGAGATTTCCATTGAGGTATAAATATTTAATTGAGTGTAGTTCGAGTATCTGATTTGGGAATCGAGTCAACATGTTTCCACTCAAATTCAATTCACGTAATTGACCCAATTTGGATTTTGATGCGAATGTTTTTGGTAGCGAGTCATTCGTAAGCAGATTATTTTTGGCAATAAATGTGCGTAATGGACACTGCAAGAATACTTCAACATTTAATGTAGCGAGACTATTATTGCTGATATCTAACGTGTGCAAATTCGTGAATTGTAACAGCGATAGTGGCAAACTTGACAGATGATTATTATACAG